CGAGCCATGGATATTGTGTAATGTGTTGTCTCTAACACGAGCGTGCAATATTAATGATAGGTACATCTCATCACTAAAGCTGGTTTATTTATATCAGTTACCAGTAGATGGTCCATGGAGTGGTAAAATGTTGCTACTACAGGATCAGCTAAAAGGGTCAGAGGTGGCCTAATTGCCAGACTGCGCCTCCCCTCTAGTACTACATTACATCAGGTAGGATTCCGATAATTCGGGAATCTGACAACAATACATAAAAAGAGATCGAAAATGTCAAACGTAAGTACACGACCATACTAAAAATATCGTCGTATGTTGCTGGCTACTCTATTGCAGCTATAGGTAATGGAGTAAAAGTGTTGCCCGTTTAGAAGCGTCATTACATGTTGGCATCTTGCTTGGTACGTTATTGTTTATAAAAGGTTATAGCGAAGTGATGTACGACCTCAAATATACCAAATCAACCAACCCATTTGCTAGAATGCAAATACCTCGCAAGATCGACAAATACCTCCACCTCCAAGTTTTACATACAATGCGACAATGAGTAATCATCAATTTGTGTGCCTGTTTCATTTTCAAATTACAAAACGTCTAACCTCACGAACAGTCGTGACGATGCTATTCTCTTTTGCCGTTTTAGATCTACGGCGTTATTGTAAAATATTCCTTTCACTGACATAGCTGGCTCACGATTGAAGAAAAAATTGTAACGTGATAGTTTAGAATAGAATCTAGTGGATTATCTGAAAGATAAGCATACTCTACGGATACAAAAAGGCTTCGAAATATAGGCGGAGGGAATGTTCATAACGGGTATTCTCAAAGTTGAGACTATCCTTCACAAATCGTATAGTTCTTGGATAAATAAGGAAGTTTTCCTGGCAACAAAGTGTGATGCGGCCTTTCCTTTGGTGAAAAGTTATGGGTGCGTAAGCGTCCAAGCTAGCTGACGCGAGTTCTGTAGGTAGACCAAGAACTTTGTTTATAAGTCGAATGCAGATAAACCGAAAATAAGATAATGCTGATGTTACGCGAGTGTATACTAAGTAACATATAAATCCGAACACCCAGTTTTAAATGGTTTTATTTTAATAAAAGTTGGTGAATGTATTTATCTTACTATAAATAACAAGTGAAAAAATTTTCAGCCTTATCAGTTGGACATTCCGGTTTTTATACTGCTTTTTTTTAATTCACTAACGCTCTAAAAATGAATATTTCAGCCGCAGTAAAGAATCAACTTTGGCGGATTTTGGTTCTTGACATCCTTTACGATCGGTTACGATGCCTAGAGTACGGAGACCTGTACGATTTCGTCAACTTAGTGAGTTTGATAGGGGCCGTATAGTGGGACTTCGGGAAGCTGGACTTTCTTTTCGGGCAATTGCAGTTAGAGTGCAAAGAAGTGTAGACACTGTGGATAGGTGTTGTCAGGCATGACTTCGAGAAGACCGTACGCAAAGAGCAAGGGGCACTGGACGCCGCCGTAGAACAACAGACCGTGAAGATTGCCGCCTAAGATTATTGGCCTTAAGGGACCCTTTCTCCACTACCAGGTCCATTGCAAATGAATGGTTTGCAGAACACGGAAGACCTATTGGCATGCGAAGTGTTTACCGAGGAATGAGAAGTTTTGGCTTGTTTTCATACCCGCCACACTGGGTCCTCCCTTTAACTCGAGAACACCGGCGTAATCGCCTTGAGTGGTGCAGACAACGGTCACTCTGGGATCAGGAATGGAACAGTATTGTCTTTAGTGACGAGTCTAGATTTTGTTTAGGCATGCACGATGGTCGTGCCAGGGTTAGAAGGCGACGTGGTGAAAGCAGGAATCCACAGTTTTTTTGTTGAAAGACATGTTCAGCGTTATATCCACGAAGTTCTAGAACCCCATCTTTTACCCTATCTTGACACCCTGGCAGATCCAACTTTCCAACAAGATAATGCCCGACCACATGTTGCAAGAGTCACAATAGACTTCTTTCAACATAATGTTGTCACATTGTTACCATGGCCACCAAGATCTCCCGACGTATCCCCAATTGAGCACGTGTGGGATATGATGGGTAGGAGATTGCTCAATTTGCAACGTCCTCCTCAGACTCTAGAAGCACTTCGAGAGGAGTTGGTGGTTGCCTGGAATGAGATACCACAGGAGGACATTGACCACCTGATCAGAAGCATGCCTAGGCGCGTTGGAGAATGCGTAGCACATCAGGGTGCATCCACACATTATTAAAGGTCAAAGGGCTTTGAAGCAGTGCAATCATTTTGAAATTTTTATCATTTACTTATTATGCTTCATTAAGTACTTATACAAAATTTTATTAAAATAAAACCATTTAAACTAGGTGTTCGGATTTATATGTCACTTAGTATATTTTCCAGATAACACAGGTCCTAAAGACGTCCATTTTATGCACTAATAATGTCTGACTCCTGAGACACCAAAAAAAAAAACATTTCTAACACAACTTTAATGCAGCATTTTACGAACAACAGGACACGACATAAAACGGTTTCCCATGTCTTCTAGAAGTGATGCGATTTTTAGAATTCAGCTTTTTAAAAAGTTAAAGATATTAGTGAACATATCAGACATCCAATTCCAGAATACGCAATCAAACATTGAAGTAAAACATATTTTCTTGTTTACCCAACCACGATTGAAATTATACTACATTCATTTTCAACACTTTTTTATGATTAATGTACTTCTAAAGCATTTGAATTATTTTAAATTATGCAAAAGAACAAGTCATTGAAGTTGACAGATATCTGTATTTTTTCTAGAATCATTTAAACATCAAGATTGATCGCAAACATTCTATTTTAACTCATTAATTAGCCACCAGATGATGCGTCGTTTAAAGAAAGTAGCCCTATATTTACCTCTGCTACATCTCTAGCTCCCTAGCTCTCTCATCTGTGAATCTGGAGAAAGATTCTTGATCGTCTACTGTTTTTAACTTGTTTTCCTTGGGAAAAAAGTAATGTGAATTTCGATCGTTTTCTCCCCCGTGCGTTTATTCAATACTAAGAAATGTGTTATCTGACTCTAAGGGTACGTGTAGACCTTGAATGTAACCTAATTTGAACAATCCACGAGCCAGGTGGTTTTGACTATAGCGGCAAGCAAGGTATTTGTTCAATTTGGTTTGTTTTCTAGAGGCGTTTTGATTGTGTGCCACTACAGAGTGCAACCTGAAGTGGAGAAGTGAAACCGTATACTGGCCAGATGAAACATCAGCTTGTCCTTATTCCGTGATTGTCTGCTGAGAGGGCTGGTAAATACCAACGCCACCACGAGGTGGAGTTTGCCAATGGAGCTTGGCTAAGGCGAGCTTAAGATCGACACACAGCCAACCAAAAAAAGCTTGACAGTTCAAGAAATTAACTTGTTTTCAAAACATCCTTTTCAATAAATATACTTTTTTATGATTCTTACCTGTTTTTTTTTTTTCTCTTTTTATTGCCGCACTGAAGACATATTATAAAGACGCCTGTAAGATGATTGGGTATCCTAACACACTTCGCCTTTACTATGTTGTAAAGCGCTCACAAGAAATCCTTACCACGTCTCTAATATCTCAAAAAGGCTTTTCGAAAAAATGTTTAGGTTATAGTCATGCTATTTCGGTCACATCGCTTTCCTGAATGATTCCGTCTCGCTCCGCGATGGAGTTTTATTTCGTTCGTTGATAGGAACGTCAGGTGGCCGCAGTATAAAACCTAAACTGCCTTAGGTGTTGCAAATTTAGGAAGAACTTAAAAATTGGATTTTTGAATCGCATGCCAACAACTTCGAACAATATTTAGAATGAACATGACAAATATCCAGTGAGTTCTTATTTTCATTTTTTCCCTTTTGCTCCTGTTTTTCAATTATTATTAGTTTGACGCTTGATGCGGGATGTGTTTTATATAACGAGACAAACAGATCAAGAGACCGAGTAGAAACTTGATAAGAAATTATAAACACAATAAGGGGCAAGAACATCCTTACCAATAGAGTGTTGCAACAAGCACCTTACAAGAGATGAAGTACATTTCCTTAAGTCATTCAGTTGGCAATAATAATAATATTTATTCCACTGGATTATAAGAGTATATGAGAATACAGAGACAGATTAAGGAATAGATAGCACATGTCCAAACAGATTAAAATCAGTATCACATAAACAGACAAATAAAAATATCTCATATCCAAAAGTTCCCTTATACCATAGAATGCGTTTTCTTCAAAATACAGATACAGTTAGTTCTCTTTAGATTTTTCTATATCTATTATGCTCTTCAAGCTTGCTTCTAACTTATTCTATATTGCCTTATATTTTGGAGATTTTTCCAAAAAAAATTGTGAGTAGGTAAAACTACGACGTCTCCTCGCCCAAAAAAGGGAAGAATGAGCAAATCCAATGTGAAAACGATGCTCATTGTCTTATTTGACATCAAAGGCATCGTCCACCATGAATTTGTTCCTCCTGGACAAACCGTCAACGCCAAGTTTTACGTGGAATTGCTCAGGAGACTCAAACGAAGGGTCAGTCATCATCATGCACCGCGGCTCTCAAGGCTATTCCGGAGAATGGCTTCCGTGACGCCTTCAATGCTTGGAAATTGCGCTGGCAGCGCTGCATCGACGCAGAAGGAGCCTATTTTGAAAGTTTTTAAAGAATTGTAACGATTGGCTCAATACATTTTTTTAAATCGACTCAGTCCTATTACTTTCTGGACAAACCCTGTACTTTAGTTTTGAATAAACTTACGCATAATTGATGGATAGTAAATCAGGCTTACTACAAACAAATCACAGACGAGTGAGGACGAAACAAGCTAAAGACAATTTATTGCGTAATTCTATAATATCTTCTTCGAAAGTAGTAGAGTATAATTGATATAGATTCCTAAGAATTTCGTACAATGCGATTGCTTGCAGAACATTTTATAAAAGTGTGTAAATCCTCAAAAAATCCACTGCCAGCTTATTACTAGCAAACCAGGTAGTAAAATTCTGGATCCATAGCCTTCATTTCTGCTTTATACTGATCTGTTGATCTTGTTGACTTACAGCATATGTAAGTGTTATCATCTGCATACATAGTAGCGTTATTTTCAAGATCTTCAATAACAAGACGTTCAATAACAAGCCCTTCAGCATTCGTATACTAGAGGAATAAAAGCGGACCTAAAGTCAACGCCTTTTTTATGTATGTATTCAACCCTGACACCACAGATTATTAGCTACACTACCTGACACTGTTGATAGGTGAATATACTCTCAAGTACCCATTTCCATAGAGTTTTTTAGTTCTTATTTTGAAGTGACCGATTATTTTAATTATCCGAAAGAATTACCTGATTTTCCAGTCGATCTCTCTGTGCCGATTGAATTGGAAGAAATACTATTTTTGGTTGTCATCCACATCTATTTATACCTAATAAATATAGTTATTCTAGCCATAAACAACAAAAGATATATTGAAAATTCAGCTAAACTAAAATTAAATCGAATATACAAGCGCAATTATCTCCAAAATTTAGGCAGCATATTTCGAAAATATATCAAAGTGTATCCAGATATCTACTAGTAGAGGATCATATAATCCAAAACCGGTATTCAAGTGATTCCAAGACGGATTTTTTGTAGGTTTATTTTGGATGACCGGTTCCATTAATTGTTGACGGATGTCGCTCCATCTCAAAGGATTGTTTATCGTAACCACACTTTTGTAGACGAGATAAATTGGTTTTCACAACTATTATAGATATATTGTAGCGGACGGGCGATAAAAGAGAAACACTATTCTCATTATCTCAAAAATAACCATAGCAGATGTCTAATAAAACCCCGCAATAACGACCGAGCAATAAAACCGCATGACGAGTCTGGTTGGAGACAGCGGTCGACTTGACAACGTGGCACTGTTGCCAATATGGGCCCTTAGGAGAAAGTTGAAGAATTATGGCGATACATTTTGCAAATCAAGCTCCACCTCGAGGCTCTAGCACGGGATATCACCAATTATCCCTATGTAAACGTATAAAATGGGTGGGTAGGTCCATCGTAACTTACTTATTGAGATATAAGTAAAAATGTTTGGCATGTAAGGCTCTTCATAATGACAAGCACCCAGCACCTTTTTCTAAAAATATACGTATTTTTTGGTGAAAATTTAACAGTGGCGTGACGGCCCATTAGTGCAGAGTGATATTTTTTGTTTTTTTCATATTTTGTGTGAAATATTCAATTTTATGTGAACAGCTAACAGCGGCCTTATTACAGAAAATAAAATAATGCTGGAAAAATAAATAAGGTGGTCCTATTTAATATAATAACTTTTGTATATACCCAAACCAGCTTATATTTAAAAAAACAAATGATGGAACTACGGATAATATACATAACGGAGTACCGTAGAGACTTTTTAAATACATTATCAAATTATAACTGACTTGATTTAATTTGATTAGGTATTTGTTCGTAAAAAACCTTACTATTGCGAAAATCTTGATTATGGACACTAGGACCCTATCCATAGTCCACTATGCGCCAGCGATCTGTGGCTTGAATTTCAATACAAGGTGATCCAAAAAACGTGGCAATAGAGTAAAAAGTACACAAAAAAAACAGTTCTTAAACGCATAAGTCTTAAAATGTCACATCAACAAGATACGGAATGTCGTTAGTTTCTAAGCTACTAATAAGACTGAATAAGTACAAAACATTAACATTTTTCTAATCACGCTATGGTTCTTCTACATAGAAGCCGCCGCACAGACAGAAGCCTAAATGCCAGGGCAAACTTTGTGAATCCGATTTTTGAGCTTCTAAGGTTAGTGGCAGTGGTTAAAAGCCTCCTGAAGCAGAATCTCGACACTCTAGGGACAAAGAAGTGGTCGTATCGGCCAGTTCTGGATGTATGAAGTTCGCCACCGTTAGGATGGGAGGCTGAAGTCAGACGGGTCTGTCTGGCAGACACATCGCGCGGAGGCACCATGACGCAGAGCTCTGATGAGCAAAGTTCATTGGCGTAGCGGTACAAGAGAGCTAGACTGCCGACGGCCCGATATAGGATGCTCTCCTAATACACTAAATATGATTTTCAATTCAATTCAATTTGAAACCTTTATTTTATTTAGATTATGTTACATTATGATGCATTTAGCTTATATACAGGGTGACTTTGAAGTTGAGTCATTAAGTTTCAGATAATGATTGTAGAAGGAAGATAAACCAAAATATGTGTGTAAAAATAAAAAAAAAATAAAAAAAAATTAAAAAAAAAATTTACCTTGTTTTATAAAGTATCCTCCCGACAAGTATTTCAGTGCGGACCTGTATTTGATCGTGAGGTCTTGGAGCACCGGCATGCCGTCCATATGTGAGGTCTTAAGTCAAATGATTCCCGAACCCGTTGTACTACATTAACAAAGGCACGAGGGGTTGGTTGCACTCGATTGGGAAACCGATCCGCATAAACATGTGCCATTTTTTATTTCGTTTGAGCCACGCAACAGACACCACTATTCACTACCGACTGACACTGACTGTATACAACTGAATTAAATAATTGTAAAAACATCGTTCCAAATTCTTTCGCTTTTTTGTTTCCGATGCGATGAACCGATAAGGCGGATTATATCCGTTGTCGCCAAATACGAGCACATAATATTATTATTGAGACAGGGAGGTACTCAAACTTCCAAAGGGCTATAACTTTGTTACTTTAATTTTACCAGAAAAATGGTAAAGGAAAAAAACATTTCTTTTGATCAGATCTACTCACTGTTAAAATAAATGACTCAACTTCGAAGTCACCCTGTATAAACTACGGAAAACAAAAATATATTGCGTCTGTATACATTCAAAATACGAACTTTTTAGGAAAGGGGTGAAATATGAGACGAACGATAAAACTGTTTTACAAAGTATTACTATCATTATGACTTTCAATCTCAATCTTCACTAACTTCAGCATTTTTTTCCATAAGAAGTAGTCTATCAAAGATTTCATGAGACTCATAATTGAAGATAGACATGTGACATATCGCGACATTGAGGCGTCCTTGAAGATCTCACAGACCTCAGTTCAGAAAATTTTACATGAAGAATTAGGAGTAAGAAAATTAGTTTTTCGTTGGATACCCCACCTGTTGACTGAAGAGCAGAAAGCAGCCAGGGTTAATTGGTGTTAAAAAACGCTTGACCGTTTCAATTCCGGAAACTTAAAAAATGTGTACAGTATTGTTAGTGGTGATGAATCGTGGATTTACTGTTATGAACCTTAAAATAAACGACAGTCGGCTGTTTGGGTGTTCAAAGGTGAAGAAAAGCCAACAAGTCATCCGTACTCGAAGTGTTTCGTAAAAGATGGTAGGGACATTTGTATCAAAAGCGGGTCATATTGCAACAATTCCTCTTAATGAGCAAAGAACTGTTACTGCGAATTGGTATACCACCATTTGTTTGCCAAAAGTCATCACCGAGCTTCAAAAAATCAACCCCGAAAGAAGAATCATCCTCCACCAAGACAATGCAAGCTCGCACACAGCCCAAAAAACAAGGCAGTATTTAACGGAAGAAAACGTGGAATTATTGGACCATCCTCCATATAGTCCTAACGATGTCTTTACTTTCCCGAAAATTAAAAACAGACTGCGTGGTCAAAGGTTCCAGTCACCAGAAGAAGCGGTTGACGCATTCAAACATGCCGTTTTGGATCTGCCAGCAAACGAGTGGAATACGTGCTTCGAAAATTGGATCGAGCGCATGCAGATGTGTATTAATCTTCGTGAAGAATACTTCGAAAAACAATAAAGTCATTTAAAACTACCTACCGTGTTATTTTATTTCCATATGCAAAACTTAAAAGACATCCCTCGTATACATTATATTTTTCCGATTTCGCTATTATAGCTTCAACATCCTGTATCCTGTAAGAAGAAATTTTGAGACCGTTTTCTTTCTGTATAATTTTTTAATCCACTTCACGCCCCAGAAATAGTGAATCACCCTGTATACTCCATGCTAGTCCGTCGCAATATTTTCTTGTTTGATGTTGCTGACTAGGTTTTGGTCAAACTGTAAAGCAGTCAAGCCCAATCGTTCGCGACGTATGTGCTTGCTGTATTTCCTCATGATGGGTAACCCAGTATAAAATCCACACAAACCGTAGCAACTTACTCCTGTTGCCCTTGATATGTTTTGGTACCCACTTCTCCTCCTGGCCTTGTACTAGCCTGAACCTTCAAATGCCTCGCTGCACTTGAAATGAAGTAGTTTGACTCTAACCGAAAGCGATCCAGCGAAGAAAAGGTTGATCACTTCTCCGCTAACGGAACATATGATTTATGGGTCTCAAACATAACGAACTATTTACCATTCACTGTCAAGAGATAGCAAATGGTATGACGGTACGACCAATGTATCATAAATATACCTTCCGTTAAATAAACTACAGTAGCACGACAAGTCGTGGAGTCATGTATTTTTTAACAATTAGCGTCTGTCAGATCTTGCCGATTAGGATGTACGTATTCTGCATGACAAATGATAGCTGGAGATGGTAAATTCAGATAAAATTAATGACATTTATTGTATATCGGTTAATCTGATTTTCAAAAACTACGAAGATTTTGCGTTCTTGGCATAGCAGTAGCATTGTGTAAAATTTTCATCGAAATCCGAGCAACACTTGTCAAGTTTTGGGCGGTTATATTAGCGGATAGGCAGAGAGACAGACCGATGGGCGTGGGAAGTAAAAATCAGTCGTCTAAATGAAAAACCCGACGAGTCACAACATTTTGGAATTTCAGTTTTATACACCATTGAATTCTTTATCTAAAGGGCTACAAACTATGCAATATTTCTAGGGCGAAACCCGACTTCTAACACGCTATTTTTAATACAGAAAATTCCGTTGAAATGCAAAAGCCGACATGTCCACGCGTCGTTTCAATTCAAATACCGGCATGTCCATGTCGACCAATGAAATTCGTGTTTGGTCAATCACGTGTTGCAATCGAGGTTTGTCGCCCTAACTTGCATGCACATGTTTATTTTGCGTTGAGTCTCGAATGATTAAGGTTGTGCGATCTAGTTTGATGGTATTTTAGCCTAAAATATGAGTGAATTGCATTGCGAAAAATATAATATACTACCATCGGAAGGTAATAGATCTCAAAAGAAAGTTAAAACGCCGTCTAAGCGGGAAAATGCAAAATGCAACAGGTAAGCTAATAGATACTTGTTACACGGTAGCAATAGTAATTTATTTGTATGTATTTTTCTAGATATTCTGCAAAATTATTGCCAACATTTCCAAAATTTTATATTGAAGCACTGCAGCGTTACTGATCCCAAAAGATCAAGAAAACGAGAACAAGAAAAAAATAAGCCGAAATCTATGTCAGTGAAATTCTATGTGAAAAGAAGAGATGGGCTAATGGTTAATGTGTACAGACAGAGTTTCATGAACATTCTGGGAGTGAAGAAAGACAGGATTTTGAATGTAGTAAAACGGTACAAGGAAAGCAATGAAATGCCCAAAGAACGACGTGGAGGTGATCGGACAAAAGGTAAAAATAACACAGCGAGCGGCTATAAAAGGGTTTGTTGAATCACTGAAGTGCATAGAGTCTCATTATTGCCGATCTAAGACATTCAGTAGAATTTATTTGCCTGCAGAACTAAATATCAAGAAACTTTGGAGAATGTTTAACAATACCGTGGACAAAGATCTTCAGGTTAAGGAGTCATTTTTCAGATACTTTTTCAGGAGAAAATACAATGTTGGCTTTGGTACTCCTAAAACCGACATGTGTTCAACATGCCTGCAGTTTCAAGACCAAATAAAAAAGTCATTAGATATCAACACAAAGAATCGATTAATGGCTCAACAGCGAGCTCACAAAATCCGAGCAAAGTGCTTCTATGAGCTTTAGAAAGAAGTCCATGCTGACAATGAGGTTGTTACATTCAGCTTTGATTGTCAAAAAAACCTGGCTCTGCCAAAAATCGCAGATCAGCAGCCTACTTCAGTATGCAGCTAAACTTTTATCACTTTGCACTTGTACAGGGGACTTCTAAAGGAAAAATAAGTCCAACTTCAGTCAATTCCTATGTATGGACTGAACTAGATCATCAAAGGGGATCCAATGAAATAGCATCAGCATTATATCATACTCTCAGCACATTTAAATTTAGCGAATCTACTAAAGTCGTTCGCCTTTTTTGTGATGGTTGCGGTGCGCAAAATAAGAACTCCATCGTCATTGGGATGTTATCCCATTGGTTATTAAAGTGCAGTACCCCCAACATAGGCAAAATTGAAATATTTTTTCCGGTTGTGGGGCATTCCTATATTCCACCAGATAGGCTATTTGGACAAATTGAGAAGGTTATTAAAAAGTCGCCTGAAATTACAAGTCCAGAACAATACATGAAAGTAATAGAGAAGTGGGGAAGCATCTACAAGTTGGGAGTTGATGTTCCTGTACAGGACTGGAAGTCAAAAGTTCAGATAGTTATGAAACCAACATCACAGTGGCATTTCAAGTTGCAAGTGTCCAAGCGCATCATAATTTCAAAAACTGAAACCGGTTATGCAGTAAGAGGTGAAAGTTTCTATAAGAATGACATGGGCACCAACCAGTCGCTGCTGAGGAGAGGAAGAAAGTTGGACATCAAACCAAGCACTGTAGACATTGGAATGCCATTGAAATCGGATAAGAAGAAGAGTATCAGTAATTTGATTGCAAAACATTACGGAAGTAATTGGCGAAATGATGAAGCCATTTTTCAAAAGTGCCTTCAATGAACTTCCTCTCCCATCCACTTCACCCTCACGAGATGGTAATGAGGCCAATACAGAGTTGTCTTGTTGAGAACAAACTTTAGATTTTGATATTTAGAAAACAAAAATTTTATGTTGTTTGGAATGTGCATTTTCTTAATACTACTTTGTAATAAAATAATCCAAAAGTTTGTTCGTGTTTTGCCGATTCGCCTTGTTTTAGCCAAAGTTAATAACCAAAACCCGACAAGTAACCATGTTTTATATGCAAAACCCGACAAGTCCAAACTTTAATCTTAATTTAAGTAATTATTGATTATAACATATGTTTGGGAACCAGTTTTCCGTTACACATTTTTTTTGCTGGTTTCTGTTAAGACAAATAGACGTTATAAACGTTTTTTGCGATTTCCCTAAAATTCCTTTAAATGGACTTTTTGTATTTAGACGACTGAAATGTAGGATTTCTTAAAGACTTGTTTTTTGTCTACAAACCTGCGAATGAGTAGAGAAAATGCTGCTGGTTCACTAATAGACATCAAAAACATAAAATTTCAGACACTTGCCTACTTGGTCCTCCTCCAGAGTAAAACAAAAACCCAAATGCGGTACATTTTGCAACGTGAAGCTACCATTTGACTGGGGTATATGAAATCTGATCGTGGAAAGGATAAAAGTAGGAGTCGGCCGTCGTATCGGATCCTGTCGCATCGCCTTGGAATGCGCGGAGCTGGAAGAAATCCCATAATAGGATTATGAAGAATGGAAGTGAGGAATTTCAAATACGGCTCCGACTTTCGACTCGAAGTTTCTTTAATCGCGTGTATACTCTGAATCTTGATAAAGAAGGATATCCATCGGAACCGAGGCAGAGTGACAGACAGACGTGACAGACGATTCGAGATTTTCATTGGATTTATATACGTGCAATCCGTGCGAATAATATGAGATTCGTCTTAAGAGATCTCAATGAGATTGGCATGACGTAAGCGATTTTTTGCAAAAGCCCGTATATCCCGATCAAGTTTTTCATCCTAGAAATTATTGGACGGTTTCCCTATTCTCTCTGTTTGCAACGATCAAATATTTTGGACGCGTTGAACGTCATTGACCCACTGGTAATCTAACAAACCGGACCAACTGAAAAGGCCTCAGCAAACGCAGATCTAGGGCGAATCTAGTTTGACCACCAATATATTTATGGCTTTAGAATCCCATTGATAAATTTAATGTAATAAAAACTTTTTCAAATACGTCATGGATACAAACAGGTTGATATATTATTCAACCACGGGTATATAAAATGTTTGTAATACTCGTATATACAGGGTGTTTCAGTTTATTGTTGCATGACTTTAAGATTCGATAGAACTTTTAAAATTAATGCATAAAGCCTATATAAACATGGGTCGAAAATCGAAAAATGCGTGGCTTCCAAAATACAGGGTGTTTAAATTTACTTTTTAAAATAGTTTTTTTTTAAATATTTCGAACAATATTTGATGTATAAGAGTGAAAATTGGTATACAAGGGTTTTTTGGTACGACAAAATGAACCATGGGCATAGTTTTACTGTAGCCGCTAGAGGGCGCTCTCTACTGTACCTGTGGTGTATTAAAATGACCGAAAATTTTTTCTTAGTGCAATTTTTTGCTTTTTGACTAAAAAACCTGATTCTTCGCACTTTTCAACATAAAAAAGCTCTCTTGTGAATTTTCGTTATAGTTAGTCGTTTTTGAGATATTCCGATTTTTAAGGTTCGATGCATTTTTAATTATTTATGATAAAATAACGTTAAAAAGTCAGTATCTCGATAATTTTTAGAAGTAGGATGTGCTTGCAAATATTTTTGAAATTGAAAGCAGAATAAGGTTAAACGTCAATTAGTTGACAGTTAGTTTTGTTGTCTGTTGAAACCTGAAACGTTTTTTGCAATTGTGAATGCACGAAATTTAGTTTCTTTTACCTGTTTTTTTTTTGTAAGTTTTATAAAAATGCCATTTTTATTCTCCAATCAAGAGTTAGCGGATATTCATTTTGTGTATGGCTTTGTAAATGGAAACGCAGCAGAAGCAGCCAGAGAGTACGCACGAAGATTTCCAAACAGACGACATTGAAAATGGTTTTGGAAATCTCCAAACGGATCAAAACATAAATGTTCGTCAGCGCAGATTTACCCGTACGATTCTGCGTGAGTTTGATAGAGATCCGACCACCAGTGTTAGGAGAGTTTCTGGTGCCTTGGGAATTTCAGCAAGCCATGTTCACCGCGTTCTTAGAAATGACCATAGACGTCCTTACCATTTGCAACTTGTGCAAGGACTACAGCCAGGGGACGAAGAACGAAGAATCACATTTTGTCAGTGGATTCTTGATATAACTGATAATAATAGAGAGTTTTTAAGTAACGTTTTATGGACCGATGAGTCATGCTTCACTAGACGTGGAGTGGTAAATTTTCATAATCAACATATTTGGTCGCATGAAAATCCGCATGCAGTCGGGAAAGAAATTTTCAGCATGAATTTAGTGTGAACGTGTGGATTGGTATCTACCGTAATCGACTATTTGGACCCTACCTTTTGCCTGCAAGGTTAAATGCTGCGACCTTCTTGGAATTTTTAAAGGCTGAACATGCAAATATGTGGGATGATGTTATGTTAGATTTAAGAAGATTGGCCTGGTTCCAGCTTGATGGTTGTCCAGCTCATTATTCGAGAATAGTTAGAAACTGGCTGAACGAAAATTATCCAGAAAGATGGATCGGCCGTGGAGGACCAGTCGCCTGGCCTCCACGATCCCCTGACCTAAATCCATTAGATTTCTTTGTGTGGGGATTTCTGAAAGTGTACCCGTAACCACAAGAGATATGCTAATAGACAGAATCAGGAATGCATGTGATGAAATAAGGTCTTATTTGAATAATGCTATACCACGTTCGATCATTCGTAGATGTGAATTGTGTATTGAACAATTGGGTTTACATTTTGAGCAACTACTTTAGATTTATTTAGATTGTATGTTTGTTCTAACTATCCAATAGCATTTTAGTCGTAAATAATTAATTTAATTTGTTAAAAATAATATTGGAAAATTAAACAAATTAATTTTCTGTTTTTTTTGTGTTTATTTGGAGTTTAAAAACACATTCTAAACGATCATCTTAATTACTTGTAATGCCCAAATAGAAAATGTAAAAAAAATATTATTTTACCATAAATAATTAAAAATGCATCGAACCTTAAAAATCGAAATATCTCAAAAACGGCTAACTATAACGAAAATTCACAGGAGAGCTTTTTTATGCAGAAAAGTGCGAAGAATCAGCTTTTTTATTCAAAAAGAAAAAAATTCCACTAAGAAAACATTTTCGGTCATTTTAATACACTACAGGTACAGTAGAGAGCACCCTCTAGTGGCTACAGTAAAACTATGCCCATGGTTCATTTTGCCGTACCAAAAAACCCTTGTATACCAATTTTCACTCTTATACATCAAATATTGTTCGAAATATTTAAAAAAAAACTATTTATTAAGAATTCAATGAGTGACGTGACTTGGGAATTTTCTGAAAATTGTATTTGATCCTCTCGATTTACGAAGAAAACACCTTATGATTCCGGAGAAACACTCGCCTGAAGGAGACGTCGTTGGAAATAGGTTTTTTAAAATAATGTTGTTTTGAGTTATGCTGTGTTAGAACTTAGGTGACGAAAACTAGATACAGACTAGCCAAAAATGCAATATATTGCTAATTTTTTTACACCTGGAATGTGCCTCGTCGACTTTTCCATCTACATCAATGTTGTTTCAAGAACTATTCATG